AATCGACTTAGGGAAACCATGGAGCCTTAAAATTTCTGATACAAAAAGGGATGCCACCTCTTTGGCATTGTAGGGATGGCACATAAGGATGAAGTGACCATATTTGGTGAGTCTATTGACTACTACTAGAATGGTATCGTGGCCCCAAGAGTTAGGTAGCCCTCCAATGAAATCCATGCTAATATCCTCAAATACTTGAGCGGGAATGGGTAGGGGCTGGAGAAGGCCGGCTGGTTTAAGGGCTGAGTGTTTATTGAGTTGACAAACAGTGCATCGCTTCACAAATTCTTGGACATCCCTCTCGATCCCTTCCCAAAAAACAAGGCTGGCCACTCTTTTATACGTGCGAAAGAACCTCGAATGCCCGCCACTTGGGCTACCATGGAACTTCTCAAGCAACTTGGGAATGAACTTGGAACTTTTTGGAAGAACAATTCTGTTTTTGTAAAGTAGGCAGCCTTTTCGGAGATGGTAGTGGGGTCTGCTGGTAGGGTCGAACAACAGATCCTGCATAATGAGTTGCAGCTTCGGTTCCTGTTGAGCTTCAGAAGCTAATTCATCAAAGTCTGAAAAATGGGTCACGGATATGGTAGTTAGCTCACTTACCTCTTCTCTTCGAGATAATGCATTTGCCACTTGATTAGAGGATCCTGGTTGGTAGTGAATTTCGAAAGAAAACCGCATAACTTTTGAAATCCACTTTTGTTGTTCTGGAGTTTTTACCAGCTGGTCCGTTAAAAACTGAAGGCTACGCTGATCCGTCCTAACAATGAACTTATGCCGAATGAGATAGTGACTCCATTTTTGAATAGCGAATACTATAGCCATGAGTTCCCGTTCATACACCGATTTCTGTTTTGCTTGACAAGAAAAAGCCTTACTAAGGAAGGCAATTGGGCATGATTTCTGGACTAAAACAGCCCCCATTCCTTGCCCCGAGGCATCGGTATGTACTTCAAATGGTAAGTCAAAATCAAGAATAACGAGCACTGGAACTGTTGTCATTGCTGTTTTGAGGGCATCAAATGCCTTTTGAGCAGTTTCAGTCCATGTGAAAGAATCCTTCCGAAGAAGTTGTGTTAATGGTTGTGCAATCAGTCCATACCCCTTGAAAAAACTACAGTAGTAGCCCATTAGTCCCAAGAATCCCCTCAACCCTTTTATGGTGCAGGTTGTTGGCTAAGACAACATCGAATCAATCTTCTGTGGTTTAGCTTCCACCCCTTTTGCTGAGATCAGATGGCCTAAGTATTCAAGTTTTGGTTGAGCAAATAAACACTTTTTGCAGTTGACAACTAACTCATTTACCTTGAGAATCTGAAAAACTTAACGAAGGTGTTCCAAATGGGAGTGCAAATCTGGACTGTAAATAAGTATATCGTCAAAGAAAACTAGGACAAACTTTCTCAAAACTGGCTTGAAGATGGTGTTCATTAAGGCCTGAAAAGTAGAAGGCACGTTCGTCAATCCGAAAGGCATTACCAGGAACTCATAGTGCCCCTCATGAGTCTAGAAAGTTGTCTTAGCTATGTCTTCTTCCTTGACTCTGATCTGATGGTACCTGGATTTCAGATCCAATTTAGTAAAAATTGTAGCTCCCGCAAGTTCATCCAATAATTCTTCAACTAAGGGAATGGGGAACTTATCCAGGATTGTGAGGTTGTTCAAGGCGCGGTAGTCCACACAAAAGCACCAACTCTCGTCTTTCTTCTTCATTAGCAAAATAGGACTAGAAAAAGGACTGGTACTGGGCTATATTAATCCTGCGATCAACATCTCCCCAACTAATCTCTCGATTTCATTTTTCTGGATATAAGGATATTTATAGGGACGTATTTTAGGGGGTTTGGCCCTCTCCTGGAGGATTATGGCATGGTTTGTGGGTCTTTTGGGAGGTAGTTTGGTAGGTGGGTTAAAGACTTGGCTGAATTCTTCCACCACTTCCAAGGCTCCCGGGTCCATCTGTTCCACTTTTGTAACATCTTTGCTCTCAATGGCACAGAACTCAACTACATATCCAGCTCACAGATTTCAGCATGGCTTTGAGTGATACCACAGTTTTTACTAAAGAAGGATCTCCCCTTAATGTGACCTTCTTTCTTTCTCAGGCGAATGCATAGTCAGGTTTTTCCAGTTAGCACACACGTCTCCGAGAGTGCTCAGCCACGCAACCCCCAATACGACATCAACTCCACCTAATTCAAAAGGAAAAAAATCTTGTTGTATCTCTATCCCCTGTATCTTCAATGCAATTTTTCTGCAAATTCCCTCTCCCCTAATCGTGAAACCATTTCCCACCATGACTCCGAAAGCCTTCCCCTTCTCCACACTCAAACCCAACTTGTGTACCAAATCATGTGAAATAAAATTGTGGGAAGCCCCACTGTCAACAAGCACAATTACCTCCTCTGTTCCCAATAATCCTCTGACCTTAAGAGTCTTGTCTGAGGTCATCCCCACGATGGAGTTCATAGATAGAGCAATTCTTATTCTAACTGCCTTAATATACTAATGACATTTACCCATATTCCTTCCACATACTCTACTGCCACATAGACAGTTAGAATAAGAATTGGATATACTGATTTTTCTAAAAAGAGTTGTCAATGGAGGCCCCTAGCTCCTCGAATTGCTAGGACTTTCTTTCCTTGTTATTTTGTTTGTGTTGAGAGTGATTGGGGATTGACAGATCTCTTGTAATCTTCAATTATTATATATCAAAAGTGTTGGTTTACAGTTTGTTTCCTGACTTTCTGGGTACTCTGTGTGTGATTTTCTTGATTGCTTTTGTTGGGGTCCCATCAATTTGGTATCAGAGCCAGTGTTTGGGTAATGGTTAAAGCAAAAATGGAGCAAAGAGTTAACGGAATTGAGAAGGAGATGGGTAACATGAAAGAAGAAATGGGTAGCATCAAGGGGTACCTCCTTAAGCTACGGGAATGGATCTTGATCGATTGAAGGGAAACAAAAATATCAAAGAGGACCGTAAAGGGAAAAAACTGGAACTACCTGTGTTCAATGGTGAAGATCCTCTAGGATGGACTTTCAGAGCTAAAAGATATTTCCAGATGAACAAATTCCAGGAAGAGGAGAAGGTGGATGCAGTTGCTATTTGCATGGAGGGACGTGCGTTGAACTGGTATCAGTGGGTTGATACCCCAGCACCGATACCCTCGTGGAGCTCGTTCAAGACAACGCTAGTTGAACGCTTTAGGCTTTCGCACCAGGGGACAGCCTACGAGGCTCTGGTAGCTCTAAAACAAACAGGGACTGTGACTGAGTTTAGGGAACAATTTGAGGCACTGTCAGCTCCTTTGTGTGAGGTTGGAGAAGACCTCCTCATGGGTATTTTTTCAAATGGGTTGACGGAGGAATTGCGGGCTGATTTGAGATTGTGTAGGCCCAAAACATTAATGGAATTAATTGAGTAGGCCCATTGTATTGAAGAGAGAAATTGGGTCTTAGAAAAGACCCGACCCAAAATTAATAGAACTTACCCATCCCAAACGCATAACTAGACCAACCAGACCCAAAAATCAGACTTCTACCACCGAGTTTCGTCAAATCCAGATCTAAGCCACAGCCACCAAAATAGGTGGAACACCGCGACGAAAAACGCAGAAACCTTATGGGGGTGAGATTGCAAAATCGAAGCTGGGAAAGGGGGGGAAAACCCATGGAAGGGGGACCCACACCATTCAGAAATGTTGGATTTCGTCGACTAACAAAGGCCTACATCCAGTATAAAAGTGAGAGAGGATTGTGTTTTTGCTGTGATGAGAAGTTTGGCCCTAACCATCGGTGTAAAAATAAGTCTCTACAGGTTTTGTTATTGTGGGAAGAAGAAGAAGATCTAGAAAAAGAAGAGATAACGCAGGAGGTTGACGATGAACCCACCTCAGAAGGTAATCCGCTTGCTCTGATACCAAATTGATGGGACCCCAACAAAAGCAATCAAGAAAATCACACACAGAGTACCCAGAAAGTCAGGAAACAAACTGTAAACCAACACTTTCGATATATAATAATTGAAGATTACAAGAGATCTGTCAATCCCCAATCACTCTCAACACAAACAAAATAACAAGGAAAAAAAGTCCTAGCAATTTGAGGAGCTAGGGGCCTCCATTGACAACTCTTTTTAGAAAAAATCAGTATATCCAATTCTTATTCTAACTGCCTTAATATACTAATGACCTTTACCCATATTCCTTCCACGTACTCTACTGCCACGTGTATTTCCTCCAACTGAATCCTATTGGCGTAACAACTTTTAGAGAGCACCTTTAGTGTTGCTTCACACGTCTCACACCCTTCTGCCCTTGTGCCCCTTGTATTGATAGACCTTGTTGATAGGGGGCTTATCACGATATAATTATGTTTGAGAAGAGAATGACTTTTTCTTTGTCCATAAAATAGGGTGGGTTGCTGAATAAATTATAATACTGTTTATTTTATTGCTCAATAAATTAATGTGGCGGTTTTCTTCTTTGTTTTCATGCAAAACCAACAGTATGCAGCACCAGAATGGCACAAGAACAACACTCCGATTACAGTAAAAGCAGATGTTTATAGCTTCGGAGTAATGTTGGTTGAAATCATTTGCTGTAGAAAGAACATGGACATATCTCTCAAAGATGAAAAAATCATACTGATGGATTGGGTTTATCATTGCTACGAGGCTGGAGAGCTCAGAAAACTTGTGAATGAAGAAGGGTTTAGACATGGAGGAAGCGGAAAAATTGGTGAAGATCGGATTGTTGTGTGTGGAGACTGAGTTTGCTTCGAGGCCTACAATGAAAGAACTGATCTTGATGATGGAAGGAATTGTTTCTATACCACCTCCTGCTTCACCATATCCTTCTGGCAGAGGCTAATTTCACCATATTAATTAATTAATTATGCTAATTACTATGATGTATTAATCTTGTTGTCAAATAAATTTCAAAATTGTCTAAGATTAATTTACATAAATTTGAATTTATAATATTGCATCAAATTTACAGTACTGCAAACAAAAACATTACAAATGGCACTAAGAAAAAAAAAGTAGGATTTGGAGGAAATGGGATATCTATTATGCCTTCCAACATCAATACAATTGTTTTCATTGAAGCACAGAGTGATGGCTCGTATTGGATGCACCAAAGTCCCACTTTAACCATCCTTTCCAACTGCAGTTTGTCAACTTCTTCACCACCCACTACTTTTCCCAGCTCGCCAGCCTGAAAACAATTGTAAACCCACTCTTCAAGAATAGCTTCCTCTTCAGGTAAGGTCCAATCAACACATCGCCGATAACATATGATCTCCAATAGTACAATTTCGAAACTGTAAACATCTGCTTTGACTATTACAGGTAGCTTTCTATGCCATTCTGGAGCAACATATCCCCTTGTTCCTTTAATCCTTGTCAGTGATCTAGTTTGGTCAGGCTTCAAAAGTTTTGCCAATCCGAAGTCTGATATTTTTGCACAATTATGCTCATCTATGAGAATGTTTTGAGGCTTTATATCACAATGGATAATCCGGGTTTCACAATCTTCATGAAGGTAGAGGAGACCTTTTGCTATGTTGCAAGCAATATCCATTCGCTGATCCCAGCATGGTTGCTTTTCAAGTGTAAAGAGCAGATCTGCAAGGGAACCATTGCTCATGTACTCGTATACCAACAGCCGGTTAGGCCCCTCATGGTAGTAGCCAAGTAGTCGGACTAAGTTCCGGTGATGAGTTTTCCCAATTGCTGTCATCTCAGTCTGAAATTCTTTTTCTCCTTCAGTTGAAACTCTGTCCAGTCTCTTAACAGCTATCACCTTCTGATTATGAGATATTTCCCCCCTGAAAACTGTCCCAAATGCTCCTCTACCAATCTCTTCTGTAAAATTGTTAGTCACATTCAATAGCTCCAAGTAAGTAAATGATTTTAGACCAAAATCCTCGTCTAACCGAATTTTGTTTGAAATCCTTTTACATCCATGAACTCGATTCCTGTAAACAAGGACTCCAGAAATTATCAAAATAATGAATGCAACAACAAGGAGTGAAACATTGACTATATGGCTCTCTTTCTTCCCTCCTTTAGGCTCATCCCCTTCTCTGGGGGCACCTGCAAAATTTGAAACACCTACTTTGATGAGAGCTAAGTTTGACTCGCTCTCAAGTTTTATCCCAAATCTCAGAGGAAGTTTTTGCTTTCTGCATTTTCCATCTCCGAACATTGCAGCTTCACAAATACAATCTTCCAAGCATGCTTTTTCACATTCTTCATTGGTTGGTAATGACAGAATAGAATATGAAGTGTCTTCCCATGTGGTGTTTGCAACCCTCTCAATAGTATATTTGATATTTCCATTCTTGCTTTCGCAGTTCTCGGTCGAAAAATTCTGTTGACAGCCTCTTTCTCCACTAACTGCAAATCCCGGAAGACATTGACAGTAAATATCTCCATCATTTTTAACACAATACCTGTTTAGGCCACAACGACCCTTTGGCGAACACTTGTCATCCGAAGAAGCCCATACAACTGACATATTGCTCTGATTTGTTGTAAATGAATACAGTCGAAAGATTCCATCCGCATCAACTTTCATCAAATAGATTGTTTCTTCTGTAGAATAGCCTCCTGGTACAAGATTTTTAATAGTGAATCCAGTAGAATTAAGTAGGTAAAGATGGCCATCATAATCAAGGTTTAGGGACACATTATCACCTCTTCCATACGTAAAAGATGAATAATAAGCATATGCTGATGAGTCTGGAGTATCCTTTGGGTATTGCACCAGGTTTCCATCGTGTTGCATCTTAAGACGAAAGATCCCCGTTGATTGATCCGTTTCAGACACACTTGAATACAACTCTTCTCCTGCCAAGAGGCCTTGACCTGGTAATACTATATTAGTGGGGTTTCGAAAACTCTGCCATATTATCTCCTCATCAGAATTATAGAGAATAAAGTTCCCCGAATCAAGCATAGATGCTTTTGCAACAGGTTTAGGAGTATTTACAATGGATGTTTCTTCGCCTTCTGCTGATTGAAGAATGAGTCTTCCACCACCCGTAAGAAGCAAGGTAACATTGGTAGGAACCGGTGGGCTGTCGCGATTCACTTTCCAAACAACTGTCTTTTGAGGTATTCCTGCAATAAAAATTCCTACACAGAAACCATTCCCTTGCTGATAGAATCCGAAACCATAAAAACCAGAAGGTGACAGCCAGGAGGAGTTTCTAGTGGGAGTTAGAGAAGAGCCTAGACTTTTATTGAAATGCCCCTGTTGAGTTGTTGCCAGAAAATTTGCGGAGAGCATAAGGAAAAAGAATAGGATAGCAGCCATTTTTGAAGCGTATTCCTCCATTTCTAGCTTAATAACTAAAGATTTCAATTACAAGTTCATTTAGGACCATTAAGAACAGATCAATATATTATACAAGGCTCAATAAAATATTTAAGTTCCCACTTCCAGTCAATAAGTATTATAAAATGAATGTTCAATATAATCGTGGGAGCACGTTTGAGATATAAAATTTTACTTGCAGGACCATTTCAAATTGTGTTTAGTCTTTGTCAAGTGAACTTATAACTTAAAATCCATCAGCTAAGGAAGTCAAGGACTTTCACTGAAGTTTATCCCATTTGACTTTACTTTGGTTATTTCCTCTGAAGTTTCATTTTCTTTAAATAAAAGTATGTGAAATCCCTGAACCATTGAATTACACTTTCCTTCCCATAGTCGTTGAGTTACATTTCATTTTATATTGTAAAGCCTCCATCACATATGTTGAAACCAAAATAGGATGAACATATAATCAGTAATTACCAACTCCATTTAGATAAGAGTTTAGCCTGAGGTGGAAGTGGGACAAGTAGGAATATAGACATCCCTTAATAAAGAAATCGTGAACCCAGTTAATAAAAACAATTTCCTCCAGGTTTGGTGCACTAACATCAATGTTCTTTCCGCAACAAAAAAATTCCAGGAGCACAACATGGTAACTATAAACATATGCTTCACCGATATTGGGGTCCTAGACCATTCTGGTGCCATTCATCTTCTTGTCCTTCTAGCCTGTTGTGAGGTGGCAATTGATTCTTGCCCACGTGGAAGTCAAAATAACACTTGGGCAGTCAAAGTTAATATGCTAAAAGTTAAGGGGCAATCCTGTCATATCCAGGTTTCACTAAACCTAATTCAAATTAGGTTTTGTTCATTTTCGTTTCCTTTCAACTTTCTATCTTGGTTAACACGAATTGCTAGATGCGCTGGAAATCTGAGGAGCGTTGATGGAATCAACAGTCATGGTAGGCCTTAGCTGGTTTATTCTTTCTGTTACACTTTCTGTATAAATATGTCCCTAATACTTTGGTTATTGTGTGTGATGTATGAGAGGTGAGGAGATCTGGGTTATTGCAGAGGGGTTTTGTGCACTGTGTAAAGGGTGAGCGTATACCTCTGTAAGGTTCTCTATTCTCATAGTAAAATCTTCTTATTGCCCTGAAGAGTGGATGTCGGTAATCTGTGAAGATTACCGAACCACTATAAATCATTGTGCCTTTTATTTTTCAGTTGATTATCTGTTTATTCTTGTGATTTATCTTCTTTTTGGATGTTGTCTTGTTTGGCTCGTTTTTCGTTTTTTTGGTCTCTTTATTGCAACAAGTGGTATCAGAGCTAGGTTCTTATTATAGTACCTAGGGTTTTTTCTAGGTTAAGAGATCTTTTGCAAATTTGAAGCATCTAGGCTTAGATCTGGTTCTCGTTTTACAGCTGCAATTTTAGGGTTTCAATTTAGTCTCGGGTAATTGGGGCTGTTTTACTTTGGGCATCTGTGAGGGGTAAGGAACCTGGAAAATGTCTAAGTTTGAGGTGGAGAAATTCACAAGGGATAATGATTATGGATTGTGGAAGATGAAAATGAGGGTTATCTTAGTTAATGATGGTTTGGCTGATACTTTAGAAGGTGAGGATAGTTTACTAGACTCCCTGTCCAAGAAGGAGAAGAAAAACCTTTTAGATAAAGCCTACAGTTCCTTAATTCTAGGTTTAGGGGATAATATTTTAATTTAATATAAATTGTTAAAATCATACCCTTGATCTTGGCTCATGTAAACGATCCTGTTATATTAATTTTTCGTTTCCGCTGCGTATTCGGGACCGTTTACTAACAGAAAGATCTATTAGATAAGGCTCATAATACTCTAATTCTAGATCTGGGGGATAAAGTTCTAAGAGAGGTTAAGAAAATGACCACACCAGCAGGGGTTTGGGAGAAACTAGACTCTTTATACCTGTCAAAGTTTTCTCCTAATAGACTAGTTTTAAAACATAAGTTTTTTGGTTTTAAAATGGATGAAAACAAATCATTAGGAGAAAATATGAATGACTTCATGAAGTTAGTACAAGATTTATAAGGTTTTAGTGTCAAAGTTGAAGACGAGGATCAAGTTGTGATACTCATTAATTCACTACCCAAAATGTATTCAAACTTTGTTGACACCTTTAAGTATGGTAGACAAACTCTCAAACTATATGAAGTAGTAGTAACCATTACTATTGAGGATCCTGAATTTAGAAAAGAGGGTAAGCTAGATAGAGAAGGGCTCAATGTTAGAGGCAGATCTGAGAAGAAAGTGTTTAAGAAAGGTCACTCCAGGGGTAGATCTAAGTCCAAATCTAAGTTTGTGAGGAAATGATTCTATTGTCATAAGGAAAGGCATTTCAAGAGAGATTGTCTAGATAGAAAGAAAAAGTTAGGAGAAAAAGAGGCTATTGGCAGTGTAGATGTAGCCTCTGATGGATATGAAAGTTATGATGTCCTGATAGCTTCTGTTAGAGAATCTTCACATGACTCCAAATGGGAGTTTTCTGATGAACTTTAAGAAGTTAGAATCATGCAAAGTTCTAATTGGAAATAATGCAGTATGTAATGTCTTAGGCATTGGAGATGTCAAGTTACACCTTCATGATGGCAATTCTAAAGTTCTTACAGAGGTTAGGTTTATATCTAAGTTGAAAAGGAACTTAATCTCCTTAGGCAACTTAGACTCAAATGGGTATAGCTGTAAGGCTCAAGGTGGAGTCTTTAAGGTCACTAAAGGGTCTCTAGTGGTAATGAAAGGAGAGAAAAAGAATGAATTATATGTTCTAAGTGGGTCAATTGTTACTGGAACATCAACAGTGTCTTCACAAAAGCCAAATAAGACTTATGTGTGGCACAAGAGATTGGGACACATTAGTGAGAGAGGCTTAATAGAGTTGAGAAAGCAAAATGTCTTAGGAGGGGATAAAATATAGAAATTGTCCTTCTGTGATCATTGTGTTTATGGAAAAATGAGTAGAATTAGATTTAATGTTGGAAAACATTGTTCTAAGTCTATTCTGGATTATATTCACTTTGATGTGTGGGGGCCTACAAAGTATCTTTCTTTGGGAGGTTGTAGATTCTTCATTAGTATAATTGATGACTTTTCTAGCAAGGTTTGGATACATTTCTTGAAGAATAAAGGAGAGGCTTTTAGAAAATTCAAAGAATTGAAGGTTATGATAGAAAATCAAACTAGGAAGAAAATTAGGAAACTGAGAATAGATAATGGGTTAGAATTTATCAATGAAGAGTTTGATAGTTTGTGTAAGGTCTGAGGCATAGAACAGTGAGGTACACACCTCAACAAAATGGCCTTGCAAAAAGAATGAATATGACCATTTTAGAGAAAGTCAGAAGCCTATTATCATGTGCTAAACTACCCACCAGATTCTGGGCAGAGGCTACCCACACTGCAGTTTACCTAATAAATAGAATACTCTCCTCAGCCATTGAATTCAAAACTCCCATAGAAAAGTGGTCTGGACATCTTGCCAATTCTAGCAACCTAGGAGTTTTTGGTTGTACTATTTTTGTGCATGAAAAATCTGATAGTTCATAACCAAGGGCTATTAGGTGCATTTTTCTATGTTATCTTGATGGAGTAAAGGGGTATAAATGTTGGGATGTTGTAAGGAAAAGGTACATTGTCAGTAGAAACGTAAAATTTAATGACGATGAACTAGGTGGTTTGAGTGAGAAAGGGAGTGATTGTACAGGTAGGGCAGAAGTGATTAATTTGGACCTAGGTGGAGAAGTTTCAAATTCTAGTAATACTCATCCAGATTATCAACAAGAAAACTCTCAAACTCAGGTGGATGAACCTAGCTTAAATGATAATGATGGTGAGGATAATGATTTGCAAAATTATCAGTTAGCTAGAGATAGGGAAAGAAGACAAATTAGACTACCTAGTAGATACTCTCATGCTGATATGGTTGCCTTTGCTCTTCAAGTTGCTGAAGAGGTTGAAGAGGAGCCTAGAATTATTAAGGAAACGATTTATAGTAGAAATTCTAGGCAGTGGAAATAGGCCATGCAGGAAGAGTATGATTCTTTAATAAAAAATTAGATCTGGATTCTTATTAACAAACCAGAGGGTAGTAGGGTTGTTAAGTGTAAATGGGTTTTCAAAAGGAATGAGGGTATACCAGGGGTAGAAGCACCTATAGGTTTAAGGCTAGATTGGTGGCAAATGGGTTCACATAGGTTGAAGGGATTGACTATAATGAGATTTTCTCACCAGTTGTGAGACATACAACTATGAGTCCTTTTATCATTGGTAGCTCAGTTTGAATTGGAACTAGAGCAATTAAAAGTCAAGACAACATTCTTAAATGGTGATTTAGAAGAGAAGATTTTGATGGAACAGCCTGAGATGTTTGAAAAGGGATCTAAAAACCAAGTATGTCTTCTGAAAAAATCCTTGTATGGGTTAAAACAGTCACCTAGGCAGTGGTATAAAAAGTTTGACAGTTTTATGATGAGTGTTGGATTTGTTAGAAGTAGCTTTGATGGTTGTTTCTATTTCAAATGCTTATATGATGAATGTTATATATATTTGGCACTGTATTGGATGATATGCTTCTAGCTTGTAAAGATCCTTTTGAAATTGTTAGATTTAAAGGAGAGATGAGTAGGCAGTTTGAAATAAACGATTTGGGGCAAGCTAGAAAGATCCTAGGCATGAATATTGAAAGGGATAAGAAAACTAGGAGACTGGTGTATCTCAGAAAGAATATGCTGAAAAGATCATAAAGAAGTTATACATGTATGACTGTAAACCTATTAAAACACCTATAGGTCAGCATTTTAAACTAAGTGCAGTCTAGTGTCCATAAACAGAAGAAGAAAGAAGGGAAATGGGCTGCATTCCTTATGCAAATGCCATAGGGAGCTTGATGTATCTAATGGTATGTACAAGACCAGATTTGGCTTTTGTAGTCAATTCAGTAAGCAGATTTATGAGTAACCC